CCAAAATTGCAGCTTAATTACACCTCTGGAGCAAGTGAGACTTAAACTCAGGCCTCCTGGTCTAGAGGGAGGGGCACTACTACTGAACTACAAGAGCCCTTTCTTTAAATGTGCTTGTTTTGGCTTCAAATTCTTACTAATTCTGTAGTCCTTCCTAATTCCTAATTTCTGACACAGCTCTTGCAGCTGCATGTAGAGCTTATCAATGAAAGAGATGCTTGTTGTGAAAGGTGAGAGCACTCTTTTAAACTCCCTTGTTTTCCCTTTCTGGTTTTTGTGACATTTTTATGAAGTCATTGCCTTTTCACTTAGCAATCTCTGACTTTACATCTTGGAATCTACTGTTGATCTTGGAACCTCCTTCATTATGGCCTGTCTATTTTCTAAACATAATTGGCTTTTCATAACCCACACTCCTTCTTCAGTGCTTCTTACCAACTTCTGAAAGAGTCTTTGGAGCACTGAGCATGACTTCATGCTTCTCTACAGCTTTGTCAGTAACCATGTTTCGACTGCTGACTGAGTTTTCTTCAAACAATAATGTTCTTAAGGTCTTCTTTGAAATTTTTATATTCTTGTGGGTCTTATTGATTTCTTCTTCTCATGATTAGGGCCATATCTCTACCGCTGCAACCATGTAGTATTTTCCCAGATGACCAGTACTGCCACCTTGTCGTAGTTGTCACCTCTGCCAATACAAGTTACTTGCATGAAGGTAGTTTAAAGTAGTGGCTGCCATCAATCATAGAATCATAGAATTTTACAGGACAGAAGAAGCCCATTCGACCCATTGTGTCTGTACCCAGCTAGTCCCTTTCTCTAGCTCCATCTCCGTAGTACTCTAAAATCCATCATTTCAAAAATACAACCAGCCCTCTTTTAAAACCTCCGATGGATTCCACCTCCACCACTCTCCTAGGCAGCACATTCCAAATCCTAACAACTTGCTGAGTAAAGAAATTTATCCTCATCTTACTCCTAGATCTCTTGCAGACAAGCTTGAAATTGTGATCCCTAGTTAATGACATACTAATTAGTGAAAACAGAATGTCCATCTTTACCCTGTCAGAATTGTTCATAACTCTGAACATCTCAATGAGGTCTTAATCTTCTCCACTCCAAGGAGAATAATCCCAATTTCTATAATCTTTCCTTGTATCTAAAATCTCTAATTTCTGGAATCATTCGAGTAAATCTCCTTTGCACCTTCTCCAGAGCTTTAACATCCTTCCTTAAATAAAGTAGCCAGAACTGAACACAATACTCCAAATGTGGTCTGACCAATGATTTGTAGAAGTGAAGCATCACTTCCTTCCTCCTTTGTCTTTGCTTTGCCTTGGGCCTATCCAATGAAAATTGGTGGAGGATGATGTTCTTAGATAACAAGACGGACTAATGCATGATAGCAATAAATACAACAATGTTCTAGTTAGGCATAGTTACTAGGAACTTAAGGAGCTAGTACATTTTAGAACCCCTTGAGTCTAGCCACAGACTGTGTGATATCAGTAGAATGGGGTGGACCCAATGAAATATGAACATTAACTCAATCAGAATTATGTTTTGCTTTATGAGGTGGATGTTAGAGTTACAAGAGTATCACAACAAGCTAGTTCTGGAGCACATATCTTCAGCACTACAAGTGGGATGTTGTCAGAGTTCACAGCCTTTCCTGTATACAGTGCACTTCACTGTTCCTCTGATATCATGTGGAATGAATTGAATTGTCTGAAGACTTTCTTTGTGATGCTGGTGCCTCAGCGAAATGCTGAGATCCATTTTCCGCTTGACCTTTCTGATTAAAGATGGTTGCAAGTATTTCGGTGTTGTCATTGCACATATGCTGGTCTTTTCCATTATTGAGGATGGGGCAGTTCATGGTGTCTCTTTTTCCAGTTAGTTTTTTTTTGCACACCATACATTCATTATTGGATGTGGTTGGACTGTGAAGCTTTGATTTGATCTTTCAATTGCACAGGCATTTAGCTCTGTTAACAGCATCGTGCTTCCACTGTTTTACATACATGTGGAGCTATGTTTGTAGCTTCACCTGATTGGTATCTCATTTTTATAGGCCTAGTGCTACTCCTTGCATGTAGCCAGATATGACAGATTTTCTTGCCTAAAGGACATTAGAAAAGTAGATAGGTTTTTATGATAAACCAGCAGTTGCTGATATTACTGATATTATGCTTCATATTCTGCATATATTTAAGGAGCAATTTAAATGCACTTAATTCAAGCTTGTGGATTATTAGCGTAGAAACATAGTCACAATGCTACATTTATTAATGTACCTTGACATTTTTCACATTTGCTTCTCAAAAAACAGGCAAATCTGGAAAGGCAAAATTTATTGTTCATCTCTACTTAACCTGAGTATTGTAGTAGACAATCTTACGTAGTATTTAATTTTACAACAGAATGACTTAGAGTCTTGGAGTCCTAGAGATATACAGCACAGAAACAGACCCTTCGGTCCAACTCGTCCATGCCAACCAGATATCCTAAATAAATCAGCATTTGGTCCATATCCCTCTGAACCCTTCCTATTCATATACCTTTTAAATGTTGTAATTGTGCCAGCCTTCACCACTTCCTCTGGCTTGCTGGGCCAATTTTAGAAGGCACAAAACATCAAATTAACAGTATAGAAAGAGTAGCAAACTTCTGGTTGAACTCAATTTCTGGAGGTTTTTTTATATAACCTTTTCCCTCCAGCTTCTGCTCGATCAGCCATTTTTTCTATCTCAGCAGGTCTAGCGGCATCTGTTCTTCAATTCTGAGGAATGGTCACTGAACCCAAAACATTAATTCTGCTTTCGCTCCACAGATGCCCAAGATCTGCTGAGGTTTTCCAGTAATTCCTGATTTTGTTTCTGATTTCCAGCATCCGCAGTTCTTTTTTTTTGTCCATCTTTTAAAGCGTTAAACAAAATCATTCAATGAAAATTGTGCATAATTAGATTTTTTTTAACCCGGATTGCTCACATCAATTAATCTTTAATTGCTATATATTCTAGGACAATCCTAGTAGTTAAAGTCCGTGGAGTTTCCTTTCATTGAAGAACATTGGTGAAACAGCATGACACAATCAAAACTTTTTTCTCAGTGCCAGCTCACAAATTACCAGAATTATTGAATTCAGTTTCATCCCTTGCCATAGTGGGATTTTGTGTTATAAACCCAGTACTGTAACTACCATTCAGCTTTATCCATAATGATGAAAATACTATTTAAAAATTTGATTTTTTAAATTCCATACCACTAGCCTGCAGGTTTAAAAATGGTTGTAAATGTACATGTACAATTATTGGTCCACTCCCTCAAAAGTAATAAAGTTGAAAATTGGGACAGAAATCCAACATAGATTTAGATAAGATTAACTATTCGTACTTCTATTTTCTAAGCATTTGCCATCAATAAAATAGTTATAGCATTTAAAATTGTCAATTCACAAAAATAAGTGCTAAATGATCTATTTAAATTATAAGAATTTGATAGAAATTTTTTTCCTTTGGGACATTTAAGGAAAGTGGTTGGGCCAAGTGATTTATTATGGCATCTTATCCTGCAACAAATACTATAAGTTTCTGCGCTTAAATATGACACTTTGCTGTTGAAGAACTAGAAGTTACATTGGGAGGTAATGACTGCATCTGAGCAATAAGTATTCATTTACATTCTTAAACCATCTTAATTCTTTTTCAAAGTTAAAATACACTACTAAATTCTCCTTTAAAGCATAAGTGAATTGAGGGGAAGTAAGTCACAAAATGAAATTTAAGCAGCATGTTCAAATTGTTCAATATCAAGCTGAAAAACATAAAATATTTTTGTTGTTTGTGTGAAGTATATCACGCAAAGTTTTGAATTGTTTCAGATGCCATTTTGACACTATTGTTGCAAGATGGTATGATTGATGGGGTTACGTAGATAGTAGGTTGATCTTTACCATTATGTTTTGGAGCTGCTCCCACATTGTGTGACCTTCCTCCTCCTCTTAAGAGAGGTCAGTTTGACTCAGTTGATAGTACTCTTCCATCTGAATCAGAAAGTTGTTTATTTGAGATTCACACAGGCTTTCAGCCAATAGTTTAGACTAAAATTCCAATGAAAGAGCTCTGTATTTTTAGGGTTTCTGTCTTACAAGTGAGATATTAAACAAACCAAAGTTTCATATGTTTGTGCATGAAGTCATCCCTAGCACAATTCAAAGAAGAACAGGAAGTTTGTCCCAAACTGTCAGTCTACACCCTTCCCTTAACTGACACCATTAAGACAACATTAACATTCACCTCATTACTGCTACTACGTTTTTGTTTGCTCAGTTTGACCACCATGCTTGCATCTGTAAGTCACTTTAACCAATTGATCTAATGCTTTGAGACAAAAAGGTGCTTTATGAGAGCACATTTGTATTTTTGGTAAGTTGTGAACAAGAAAAGGGGCCACCTTGTTTGGATTTCAAATTGCTTGTTTTGCGAACTTGAGGAACACGCTGTTCTCACTTATGTGACTTACTGACTTGAAGTAATAATTTTCTGTTAAGGTCTGACTGTGATATAAACAGAGAAATTGCTGGCTGCTTTCCAGTAGGTTGTTAGGAGAGATGATATTTGGGCATGGCTACATACTGCAAATAAATACGAGAGTCAGCGTTTACTGTTCTTGTTTACGCTGCAGCTAGTTTAGATTGGAATTGCAACAGATGGTGAACATCTATTGCTGGATAAATATTACAACTTAAAAATTGAAAGACTTTTGCTTCTGAGAGGGGATGAGTATTTCCAATTATAGAATCATAGCTTTAGTTCACTATTTTTTGCACGTGCTCAGGCACATGCACATTTGCAACAATCCACTAAGTTGACTTTTTCCTTCCTATTTCAAACATCAGCTAATCCCTGATTACCATCTGTACCTGCAAATAACCTTTGACAGAGGCATGCTTAATAGGATGCTGAGAGACCATTTGGTATGTAATTAATGATGTAACCATGCAAAAACGCCTACCAGCAGAAGCCCAACTGGACTTCAAACAGGCACGACAACTGACTTTATCATTGAAAGATGCAACAAGTGGACCATGTGAGTTGAAGGGTATTCTGATGGAAGTAGACACCCTCGCCAGTTCGACTGAGCTTGGGTAAGACCGTTTCAGTAAAGGCAATTGCATAGCCTCACTCAAGACATACCTTGAACAGGGGGACTCTAGATCAGTCCACAGCAAAAGCCCAATACAAAACCAAGCCTCGGCCAAATGGTTAAAATTTTCTTCAGGATCCAGCCAGCAAGCCATTGTAGTTGCTGCTGGTATGCAGACTTGAGACAGCAAAAGAGTCCCACCAGATCTAAGTTGAATAGGAAAATTCATTGGCAGGTATCCAGGACAGTGCACACCCTGGAAAGTCCACCTAATCTGGGTTGGAACAGATAAATTGCTTAGCAACATCCAAATCAGAACCAGTCAAAATAAACATCTGATTAAATCGTCACCCGATTCTAATGGAGGTCGATACCAGCATGGCTTAAGTTTAAGTTTGAGCAAGACCTCGGCCAGAATGAGAACCTATATCAGGGAATCTTTACTGATTACGGGTACAACTTTGGTTCCGATCTCTTATGAGAAACAGCTGGTTCAGTTACCACTGATTGTAGTAAAAGGCTCAGGCCCAAGTTTGATGGGGCAAAATTGGTTGGGGAAGATTCACCTAGATTGGCTCAACATTTTTCAATTAGAAAATGGCTGCCTGAGTGAAGCCCTAATTTAATACCCAGAAGTTTTTCAGGAAGATCTAGGGACTATCAAAGGAGCCAAGGCCACCTTGTATATTGACCAGGAAGCAATTGCACGATTCTGCAAGGCCCGCCCAGTGCATTTGATTTACAGGCAAAAGTAGACGAAGAAATCAGAAGGCTGGAAATCGAAGGAATCATCAAATCAGTCCAGTTTGCGGAATGGGCAGCACTGGTCATACGGATTGTGAAGGCCGATGGGTCGGTTTGCCTTTGTGGGGATCCCTCGCATGGAGGACTTATACACAAAGCTGACAAGGGGGCTGTCCTTCACGAAGCTGGACATGAGCCATGCATACTTGCAATTGCAGTTGGATGAGGATTTCCAAAAGTATACTACAATTAATACCCTACAGGGTTTGCACCAATATACGAGACTGCCATTTGGGGTATCATCAGCTTATGCCATTTTTCAGTGGATGATATAAAACATTTTACAAGGTCTACCTTGGGTTGCCATTTATCTTGATGACATACTAATAACAGGGAAGACCAGTAAGGAGCGCTTAGAGAACTTGAACATAGTCCTTAAACATTTCTCCCAGGTGGCTATACGTCTTAGAAGGGAAAAACATGTGTTCCAGGCACCTCCAAGTGACCTACTTGGGCTACAGAGTCAATAACATAGAACATAGAACAGTACAGCACAGTACAGGCCCTTCGGCCCACAATGTTGTGCCGAACTTCCAACCTAAACCTAAGGTCTATCTAACCTCACCCCTACCTTATACTATCATCCATATGCCTATCTAATAGCCGCTTAAATGCTCCTAATGAGGCTGACTCCACTACCCGCTCCAGCAAGGCATTCCACGCCCTGACCACTCTCTGAGTAAAGAACCTACCTCTGACATCTCCCCTATATCCACCTCCCCTCACTTTAAAACTATACCCCCTCGTAATAGCTACCTCCACCCTTGGAAAAAGTCTCTGGTTGTCCACTCTATCTATACCTCTGATCATTTTGTATACCTCTATCAAGTCACCTCTCATCCTTCGTCGTTCTGAAGAGAAAAGCCCTAGCTGTCTCAACCTTTCCTCGTAAGACCTTCCCTCCGTTCCAGGCAACATCCTGGTAAATCTCCTCTGCACCTTTTCCAACGCTTCCACATCTTTCTTGTAATGAGGTGACCAGAACTGGACACAATACTCCAGATGTGGCTGAACCAGGGTTTTGTATAGCTGGAGCACAACTTCATGGCTCTTGAACTCAATCCCTTTATTAATGAAGGCTAACACACCATACGCCTTCTTAACAACTCTATCCACTTGGATGGCAGCATTCAGGGAACTGTGGACATGAACCCCAAGATCCCTCTGCTCCCCCATACTGCCAAGAATCTTTCCGTTAACCCTGTATTCTGCTTTCAAGTTTGTCCTTCCAAAATGAATCACCTCACACTTTTCAGGGTTAAACTCGATCTACCACTTCTCAGCCCAGCTCTGCATCCTATCAATGTCCCTTTTGTAACCTAGAACAGCCCATCCACAACTCGACCCACCTTCATATCGTCCACAAACTTACTAATCCACCCTTCCACTCCTACATCCAAATCATTTACAAAAATCACAAATAGAAGAGGACCCAGAACTAATCTTTGTGGTACATTATTCGTAACTGAGCACCATGTTGAATATTTTCCATCTACTACCACCGTTTGTCTTCTAAGGGTCAGCCAATTCTGAATCCAATCTGCCACATTTCCCCTTATCCCATACCTCCTTACCTTCTGCATGAACCTACCATGGGGAACCTTATCAAACGCCTCCGGGACACCTTGGTCCACACTTCCTTCACCCCCAACACCTCCCCACAGCCCTACATCACCTTCCCCTGTAATCGGTGAAGGTGCAACACCTGCCCATTTACCTCTTCCCTCCCCAGTATCCAAGGGCCCAAACATGCCTTCCAGGTGAAGCAACACTTCACCTGCAATTCCCAGAATCTAGTCTACTGCATTCGCTGATCACAATGTGGTCTCCTCTACATTGGGGAAACGAAGTGTAGACTTGGCAACCACTTCGCAGAACATCTACGTTCTGCTCACAAAAAAGACCCTGAACTACCTGTTGCCTGCCACTTCAATGCACCCTGACCAACATCTCTGTCTCTGGCTTGCTGCAGTGTACCAGTGAAGCCCAATACAAGCTGGAGGAACAACACCTCATTTTCCGCTTGGGGACCGTACAGCCCTCCAGACTCAATATTGAGTTCAATCATTTTAGGGCCTAAGCTCTCCCATGTCCCAGTCCCCCACCCCACACACCAGTCCTTGTTACCACATAGCCTGCCATTACACACCCCGTGTTGTTAGTCACTAACAGTCCCCATTAACAACTATTCACCCTCCCAGCCTGATCGTTAGCAACTCCTTTGTCTGTCCAACTGTCTTTCTCTCTCTTTGGGCTCTATCCTATTGTTTACTCCCTACCCCAACCACCTCCCTATTTTCTGCATATAAGCTGCCGTTTTCCCAGCCACCATCAGTTCTGAGGAAGGGTCACCGGACCTGAAACGTTAACTCTATTTTCTCCTTCACAGATGCTGCCAGACCTGCTGAGCTTTTCCAGCAACTTTGTTTTTGCCTTACTTAAATTCATGTATCCCACATCCACTGCTCTACCTTCATCCATGTGTTTGGTCACCTCTTCAAAGAATTCAATAAGGTATGTGAGGCATGATCTACCCCTCACAAATCCATGCTGACTATCACGAATCAAACTGAGCCTATCCAAGTGATCATAAATCCTATGTCACAGAGCCCTTTCCAATAATTTGCCCACCACTGAAGTAAGACTAACTGGCCTGTAATTTCCGGGGTTATCCCTATTCCCTTTTTTGAACAGGGGAATGAAGTTTACCACTCTCCAATCTTCCGGCACTATACCCATGGACAGTGAAGACGAAAGATCGTCGCCAAAGGCCCTGCGATCTCTTCCCTTGCTTCCCATAGAATCCTTGGATAAATCCCATCAGGCCCGGGGGATTTATCTATCTTCAAGTTCCTCAAAATTTCTCGTACATCTTCCTTACTAACATTGACCTCCTCTAGCCTACCAGCCTGTTTCACACTGTCCTCCCTTACAACTAGGTTCCTCTCAGTTGTGAATACCGAAGAAAAATATTCCTTGAGGACCTCTCCTATCTCTTTATGCTCCGTGCCACAAATTCCCTTTACAATCCTTGATCGGCCCTAAGACTGGGTTACATCCATTGGAAGATAAAGTGAGATCGATCAAGGATGCCCCAGCTCCCAAGTCTGTACCTGAGCTTAGGTCTTTCCTTAGGCTGGTGAATTATTACAGAAAGTTCACACATAGCCTGGCCTCCATCCTGGCACCCTTGCATCAACTGTTTAAAAAGGGTCAGCCTTGGAAATTGTCACATAGCCAAGCCATAGCTTTCAGGGAAGTGAAAAAACAGCTATCTTCCTCTAGGGAAAAACCAAAAGAACTGTGGATGCTGTAAATCAGGAACAAAAACAGAAGTTGTTGGAAAAGCTCAGCCGGTCTAGCAGCATCTGTGAAGAAAAAAATTAGAGTTAACGTTTCAGGTCTGGTGACCCTTCCTCAGAACTTCCTATAAGGTATTGGCACACTATAATCCCAAGCGAGATCTGGCATTGACATGCGATGCCTCTCCCCGTGACTCATTGGTGTCCCAAAGGAGAGGAATGACCAATAGCATATGCATCCAGGGCCTTGGCTAATGCAGAGCAGAAATACACCCAGATAGAAAGGGAAGGCTTTATTTGGAGTCAGGAAGTTCCACAAATACCTTTACAGATGTAAATTTGGAATGATTTAAAGTCTTCTGGACACACTTCCAGTCATAGGTGGTAATCAGACTTTAGACACACAAAGATCCAATCCTGGCAAAACTGAAAGAGCTGGTGGTGATGGGGGATATCAAAGGGTCATCATAACCATAACTGAAACCTTTTTGGACCCAGTGAGACCAGATAACAGTTGAGGATGACATATTATTAGCGGAACAAGAGTGATTGTCCCGAACAAAGGTAGCCACCAGATACTGGTTGAACTCCACCAAGTTATCCAGGGGTTTCCAAATGAAGATGTTGGTGATAAGTTATGTCTGGTGGACAGGATTGGATACAGATATAGCCACGTTGGTGGGGCAGTGCCCAGAGTGCCATCAAGGGCAAAAATTCCTGCCAGCCGCTCCCCCACGTTTATGGGAATGGTTGGGTAAACCCTGGACTCAGTTAAACGTCGACTATACAGGTCCTTTCACGGGCTCAATGTTCTCAATCGTTGTGGATGCCCACTCAAGTGGCTCAACATGCAGAGAATTCATTCGTCAAACACAGGGACGACGATAGAAAAAGT